TATGAATGGGCCCCAGTCTCTGAAAAATACAGCAGTGTCCCCATAGGAGCAGCCCCCACCCTGTCACCACCCACCAGAGCAGGCTCACCTGGCGCCAGGACAATGGGTTCGGGCTCCCCCTGGTTTCCATAGTAGCAGAAGACATCTCCCTTCTCTGTGCTGTGAACAGGAGGCAGAGAGCGTCATACAGGGGCCACGGATCGTGCAGACCCCTCGCTGCCTGGCAGTCACCACAGCCCTACCCCATGGGATCCCCGAGCGCTCCAGGGCCACTGCCAGTTGTGCTTGCACCTTCCTTCTCCAGCCGGGGGCACCTCTGCCTCCCAGCGAGCAGTGCAAGTGAGACACGGTCCCAAAGCAGGGGGCTCCTCAGCCACAGGCACGGACGGGAGAGGACCTGGGGCCGAGGGGCGGGTGTCGGCAGGGGGCATGCCCTGTACTAGGGGAGCGCCCTGCAGTCATGCTCCGGTTCCCCGATGGCAGGAGCCAACAGCCCCCACACCGTCACAGGGAGCCCCACTGCAAGGCTCTGCTTCCCAGGTCCCCACGGCAGTGGGTCTGGGAGGGGCTCAGCCCTCAGGACGCTCACCAAGCCGACTAAGAGAGGCGGCCCCAGATGCCACGGCACCCGAGCTGAGCAGCGGGGCAGGCACCCTACTCCCTGCTGGGTCCAGTCCCAGTCCCGTGGGGGCACTCGGTGGGCTGCCACCCCCACCCCCACCCCCAGCAGACTCACCTCAGGTCGGCTGCTAAGAGGTTGAAGCCGTTGTACAGGTGACCCTCTGTGGAGACCTTCTTCAAGTAGGAAAAACTGTCCATGTCTGCGGTCAGAAAGTGGGCCACCAGTTCACCTGTGAGCAGGGAACAGACACGGCTGAGGCAGCAGGCGTAGCCCCCTCCCTGGGGAGAAAGATGGCCCCGCATGGGCTGGCTACACCTCACTGACCCCACAGCCAAGGAGGTCGGCATAGAGGACTCTGCTTTTATTGGTTAAAAAAAAGTTTTCCTGCCCTGACCGGTTTGGCTCAGTGGATAGAGCGTCTGCCTGCGGACTGAAGGGTCCCAGGTTCGATTCCGGTCAAGGGCATGTACCTTGGTTGCGGGCACATCCCCAGTAGGGGGCGTGCAGGAGGCAGCTGATCGATGTTTCTCTCATCGATGTTTCCAACTCTCTATCCCTCTCCTTCCTCTCTGTAAAAAAATCAATAAAATATATTTTAAAAAGAAAAGTTTTCCTCCATTATGCCCCCATATGGAAGTCCAGCATGAGGGGGAACGTCTTTAGTAGGGACAACGTGTGTCCCGGGAACTATCCTCCCACAGGCATCTGCTCGGCAAACATTGAACAGGGGGGACAATGACACACAGCCAGAGCGACACATTGCCTGGGGATAAGTCTGAAGCACATTCCCTGAGAGGCGTGAAAGGTCAGTGTCATGTGGGCCAGACCAAGGGTGGTGCCCACAGTGACTGCCAGCCAGTGGATTACAGGACCCAGGAAACACGCCCTCTTCCCCATTCCAGCTCCTCCTCCTGTCTCTGCACATGCCCAAGGAAGCCCCCACCCCAAGGCCCACCCCCCAGGCCAGCCCCCGCTCCCCTAAGCTAGCCCCCAGCACCCCGCCCCCGCCCCATGGTACCTCGGCCCCTCGCATCTGGGTCCTGCCGCGGCTGCAGGTAGTTGGTGAGCGCCGCCAGCTTCCCGCGAGTGCTGATGCCCAGCCATGTGCCTCCTTCCTTGCCTTCCTCCATGTCAAGCCCTGGACAGACGCCAGCATCACCACCAGCAGTACCCCCTCCTCTCCCTGTGTCCTGGGCAGTCGAACCTCAGTCCCACAGCCCTGGCTGTGGAACAGGGGATCTGACTCCACAGGGCGGGGCAGCAAGACACTGGAAAGATGCCCTCCCCGTCTCAGGCCAACTGATGCCAACAGCATCCTGGAGCTTGGGTTGGCACTGGGCCGGGAGCAGAGCACCAGCTCCATCGCGGGAACCTCATCCTGCATCTGGTGCAAGGGTGGCTGGCTGTCCTCCTCGGGCAGAAAGCGCAGGACCCTCACAGCGAGAGCTTCATTGGGAGCCCGGTGCACATCCAGGCCTGCAGCGCACCCACCCGCTGCCTGTTCCGTTGACTTTGGTGTGTTTGCCCCTAAGCTGCGTGCAGCAGCCACTGGGCTCACCCAGCCTGTGCTGCAGCTAGGCCTCCCTTCCACCAGGCAGGTGCTCCTTCTCAGCATGCCAGGGGCCTCCTCCAAATCACTACAATTCGGAGTGGCTGGAGCTTCCCAGCCAGGACTGACACTGATTCAGGGGCGGGGTGCTGGCCCAGGTGCCAGGGTAGGGTGGAGCCCAGGTGGCCAGCATGGCCCAGGCAGTCTAACCTTTCATCCAAACCTCATCTACAGAAATCCTGGAGAGGTGCCTCCTGCCCCGCTACCCCAAGGCAACAGCCCCTCACCGCACTCATCCCGAGAAGGCCCCCTCAACACACACACACACACACACACACACACACTTCAGCCTCCCTGTGTGCAGCAGCGACACGCACAGCCTGCCCTATCCCATAACCCCCTTCTGTTCTATCCTAACCCAAGATGGCCAGGACCCAGCCTCTCCTCCCTCTTGCACTCAGTTATCCTGAGTCCCCCCTCCCACCCTCTCAGCAGCTTTCCCCACCACCTCCGAGACCTCCTGCCCAGGACAGCGCCCTGCCCTGGTCCCCCCACTCCTGTCCTCCTGTCACCCAGCACCAGGACGGTCTAGCAGTGCTTCCCTCGCACCACTGCCCAACCATCGTCTACACAGGAAGCTCCATAGCTGAGCCTTAGGACACTGCAGGCGGAGCAGAGCACACGCTGCCTCCCTGGGCCCGTGAGCCCACATGCCCAGCACACTGGGCACCCTGTCAACTCTGCCAGGCTCCCCTGTGCTTGCCTGGCACCTGGCTCCCAGGCAGAGGGACTCCTGGCCTAGCCAACACCTGTCTGCATGCCCTCCAAGTAAACCCCTGCCCACCCCATGGGCAGGAACTGCTCCCTGTCCAGTGCTCAGGAGCTTCAGCTGGGTAGGCAGGGGGACCTGGGTTGTCACCTCCACTTCTCCACAGGAACCCCTTGTGAGGCTCCCACCCAAAGGTGCCCCAACCAAACCTCTGCTCCCCAAATTCAGACCAGCTCTCACTGGACCAAGGGTGCTTGTATGTAAACAGAAACGTGTGCAGAGATAAGCACATGTGTATGTGCATACATATGTGCACACACGTGCACACACACACACACACACACACACAACTATGATGCCGCACAGAGTGATAGAGGGTGGACTTGCACCCTCACACCAAAACAACTGCATGTCCACAGGGAACATGTGGATCCAAATAAAACCAACTGATCCTTCCAGCTACCTCTTCTGGGGATCCACGACACATGAAGCCACAGGGACAGTGCTGGGTGGACAATTCCAGGGCTGGCCAGCCCAACACTGTCCCGGGACCGAGACTTTGGAGCCGACCCCATTAGACCCACCGGTGTCCACTTATTCATTCCGAACGTACACAGGGAAGCAGCACCGTAACTGCTAGAACCGTCTGGGGCTGGCACTTCCTGCCAGGCTGTGGCCACCCACCACGAGGCAAGACTCACCACTGAGGATCTCGTTGTTGTTGCCCCAGAACTCTGCCACCTTGGATGGCCTGTGGTAGAATTCATCCCTGTTGGATGCCAGGATGAGCCTGAAGAAGAAAGCATGACTGAGACTCTCAGGTCAAAACAGAGAAGCCATGTTCTTCTCTCTCTAGTTAACAAAGAAAATCTGCCTCAGTAACAACATGGGCAAGTCCCAAAGACAACAGGAACCCGCACCCTGACCGCATTACCCAGACCTCTTCCGGCAACCTAGACCAGCCAGCGTAAGTGGGGCTCCCGCACCCCAATTCCGCTGCCCCCGGTCCTCTGTCAGCCCACAGGGATGTGCCGCTGCCGGGACCCACTTCACTCCTCGGTCCCGCCCACACAGTCATCTTTAGAGGCTGAGTCTTAGTTTATTTGTACAATCTGTACATCGGCTCAGGGTCTTTACCGCCGAGGGGTATTCCCTCCAGCGCCCACGCTGAGTGACCACGGTCTGAGAGGCACTGCCAGGCCTGTGCAGCTCGTCCCAGGGCCGCCCTCCCCCCGCCTGGGCAGCAGCGGCATGCCTCCCCTGCCTGGGTCGCCTACATGCCTACTGTGGCCCGTGGGGCACCCGAGGCTGAGCAGATGGCGGCAGACTCAGAGTGAGGGGTTACCTGTACGCATTTTTGGAAACAGGGCGAGGATCGAACTTAAAGAAGATGATGCACATGGGTCCCGGAGGGTGGCTTTGCTCACACAGGGTTACACAGTCTGTGGGAAAAGGAAAAAAAAAATTATTTGAGTAACCAGCAGACAACAGATCCACCGTCCCAAACCTGCAATGTTCTTTGAACAGAACCAGCTCGGTAATGCCCCTGGCCTTCCCTAGACATGCCAGAGTCATGTGCCCAACAGCATGACGCCCACCAGCACTTCAAGGCCATCTCCCTGCCAGCACTCCATGGGCAGGTGGGCGGGCAGCAGGGGCTACAGCCACAGAGTATACAACAGCCAAGGAGGGGCCAAGGCCCAAGGCTGTCAGCACGAACGCAACCTCAGCTGAGAGCCACTCTGAGGCTGCCTAGTTCCTGGGGCCTTCTTGTGGACAATGCCAGGGTGTTCCCACCACTCCACTCCCTTCTGCTCACTGGTCTGGCTGGGGTGAGAGGTGGGGGGAAGGACTGACTCCACCACTATCTCCACTGGTTCCCACAAGCCCTGGAGGATCCCCCAGGACTTGGCCCCCTGGCCCCTTCAGGCATGGACAAAGGTAAGGGCCACAGGGGAGCTACCTTTGCCCTCAGTAAAGCCTGTAGCTATGTGAGGTGTCGCCATGGTGACTAGCAGAAGTGCAAGGTGCTAGGGGGTGTCCAGCCATAGGAGATGGGCTGCTGGCCTCCAGCCCGAGCTGACAGGAGCGGGCTGGGTTCCCACCCGCGGGCGCCCTGACCATCCCAATATTTGTGGGCAGCCTGATGGAACCAACATTCTTGGTAAAAACTCAAAATGCTTGAGAGAATGTGAAAACGTCTTAAAAGCAGCCAAGAGCTAACTGGTCATGTAGAATTTAGCCAACATCTTGGAGAACGTAGGAATCCAGAGATGGGAAAAACAGAGATTGGAGCATTCCTGCCCGGGGGCACTGACTTATCTGGCTCTGGTGACCCTGGGAGTGAAGGACAGAAGACAAAACCCAGGACTGCCTCAAGACGGGACCTCGTAGGAAACCCTCCAAGGGAAGCTGGGACCCCGAGCAGCAACATCCAGAGGGCGAGGGTGGGCTATGTCCACAGCCACCAGGGGCGGCAGGGACAGCCTACAAGGGAGGAAGTCCTTGAGGAGCTCCGAGAGTGGAGCCAGGGCCACACCAGGGGTCCAGGAACCCTCACGCCAAGACGTGGTTTGAGGAGTCCCACACTGGCAGTGCCCCTGGGCACCTAGCGAACCAAAATTCTCATCTTCACCCCAGACCTCCAAGAAGTCTCACAAATAATTTCTAGGACAAAGCAGTACACAGTCAGAAAGAACCGCCTAACAGAGCAAAGCACCAAGCACAAGAACCAGCAGAAAGAGGTCCCCGCATGTCTCGTAAACTCACCACACTCTCATCGCAGAAAACAGGGAGCTTGGGAATATCCACAGAGAAAAAGAGGTTCACGAAGCACCAGAAAGAACTTTCCCAAGTGGGAGGCATAGATAACCGCGAACTACAACTCAGCAGTGGATTTAACTGCAGGTTAGACACAGCTTATGATGAGTCAGCAGAATCATCCAGGACATAGTGCAGAGACAGGAAGCATGCTGGGCCTCCCAGGACCCCAGGTGCCCCACCCACCAGGTACAGCTGACAGGGTTCCCAGCATTGCCACCTGATCCTAGTCCGACACAGAAGACACAAGTCTCCTCACCCCAGAGGAGCTGGTCTCTCTCAGGCATAAGCATGCTCCGAGCAAGGCCGGCTGGTTGTGTCTGTGGCACCCAGGCTGCCTCAGTCAGTGTGGTAGGAGCCCTGCCAGTGCATCCCTGCTGGAATCCCACTGGTCCAGAGCCCCACCGGGACGAAGGGCTATTCTGAAGGCTGTTCCACTAAGGATGTGCCACTCTGGACTGTCAGAGGAGGAGGCCACCATGTCTGCCTGGACCTACCGTGTCCCTTCCTGAGCTGCGTGCCTGGCCACTAGGTGAGGCCACTGGCAAAGGGCAGGTCTGGCCACTGATGCTCACAGGCCATATAGAGACTCGGTTGCAGGACCCCGCTGTCCTAGCTGGACCAAGGGAGTGGCAGATCGGCCTCCAGGTGTAGCAGGGAGGGTTCTGTGGTCTAAGGAAAGGCCGCCAATGGGTCTCCAGGCAGCCTTGTGCCAGAGGTGTGGGCACAGAGAGCCCAGGGCTGCAGCCTCGACGAGAACGCAGTCATTGGGAGGGAAGGACCAGAGGAAAGCCAGCCCCTGGGGAGGGCACCATCAGGAACTGCCTTTCTCTCCAATCCCTCACCCCCCACTCAGCCAGGCCAGCTGCCCACAGGCCCCTCCCCTTCTTCGCTTCACTGCCCACCTGCAGCTGGGGGGGATCCACATGTGTAGAGCAGGGCTAGCGCTTCCCACATGCACCGGAAGTCCCTGCGTACACCTCTGAAGTGTGAAGCGAAAGGAAAACGCCCTCTTCAAACCAAAGCCAAGAGCTTCCCATCCTATCTAAGAAAGCCAGTGGAAGTCTTCCCAGCTCACAGCGAGGCGAATCTGGCTTTGCCCCGGTCTCACCACCTGGTGATTCTGAAGCACAGGAAGAATGGGTCGCAGATTTGGCGCGGGTGCTGGCTACAGAGCACAGAAGCTTTCTAGGCACTCACAGCCCATCTGCTGACAGCGCTTTTGAGAGTTCTCCTGGCCAGCTTCGTCCTGCTGCTCACTCCCTGCCTCTGAATCACCCACTCCAGCTGGCGCCTCCTTCCTCCTCTCCTGCCTCAAGGAGGACCGACAGGGCTGTTTCCAACAGCCAAGTGGAGCCAGGTAAACTGCCTCTGTCAGAAGGCTCAGGCTCTTGAGCGAGTCAAGCTTCAAGCCTGACTCCGTGTGGCATCTCACAAGAGCACAATGAGAAAATGACAGGCAGGCAGGCCTGGCCAAATCAGGTCAGAGTAATATGCCAAGAGATGCAGCGGTGACTGCAGTGGCTCAGGCAAGGGCCACGGGGAACATAACCTGGCACCGTGATGGCCTGGTCCACAGCCTGCTGACCAACAGTGAGGATCTGCTTCCCTGCTCCCCCCGTAACCTGCCCCCCCAGCACAGACAGGTGGGTGAAAGGCAAGGTGAGCCATCGACCTCATGGAGGCCACTGGGAGAGGAGGCAAGAGGGGCCTAAGGGCCACCGACAGGGCCTCGTTGTCACTGCCAGCCCGGATGGAGAAGGACCCAGCAGGGGGACCAGCAGACCTCAGCACTGCTGGGGGTGGTCCAGTCCCTACCTGGGCCGCCCGCCTCACCTTGCGGGGCGGCTAGCAGCATAACGCACTGACTGCTGCCACCCACCCAGTGCCTACCAGCCCCACCTCCTGCAGCGTTTGCACCAAGGGCGTCTCCCTTCCTCTTCCTCCCAGCACACCTGTC